GCGTGTTATCGCCAGCCGCCGCCGGGTTATCCGCTGCGGATACAGGCCCCGGCTTGGCCAACGTTCCTTCCTCGCTCAGAACCCTGCACCTTAGAGTAAACCTTGTATTAAACCACTCGCTTCACCCTGATTCACTCAGCCGCTCCCTGGTTTTGACAGTGTGGAAGGCGCCTGCTCCTCTCCTTGGCCGGGTGCTCAATTTACGCCTGCAACGGGTTTATTCATTTCTAAACACTCCATTTGCTGACATGGGCTGCGTAAGCAACCGCATCGGGCAGCCTGGGACAGAGTTTGGAAATGGGAGCAGCCTTGAACCTCTCGAGAGGAGCATTTAGGATTATGCCAAGAGACCCTTGTACCCTAGAGCATCACCCCGCTGCCCCAGGAGTAACTCATTAACCAGGGATGTGGCTGTTGATTAATCCTTCCTTGGCCTCCTCCAAATTCTGCTTCCAAAGTTTCTTGGGAACAAGTTTCCCAAGGTGCCTGGGGGTGTTCTTCAAAGAGCAGTGGAGGTCCAAGGTCTTTGGTGTCACTCCAAGTATCCCTAGAGAGCCTTTTCCATAGGCAAAATGAACCCTCCCACCATGGGGCGGGATGTTAGAGCCATGATCGTGTTGTGCCTGCTCCTTTTTGGGAAGGTTTTAGAACATTTCCAAGACCAACAAAGACAGAGAGGGAGAAAAGGGAAGGATGGGACTGTTGCTTGGGTCGGGGGTTGGCAGACAGCCTCATGGCCATCACTTCCCTTGGTCCCCAGGCCCCCTGTGCCCCTTTTCCCCCCTGAATTCCCTTGTGGGGCCGGGCTGGTGGGGAACAGTCTCCCTCAGACCTCCCCATCCTGCAGCATCATCTATGTAGTGAGCTTTGCCCAGCCTCTGCAGGGCAAATGGGGCAGCAGCCTCATCCCGAAGCAGAAACACCCTCCCATGGAGAACTGCGCACCGCAGCGGGACCCCGTTTAACTAAGGGCCCGTTCGCTGCCCCGCTCCTCGCGCCGCTGACGCCCAACGCTGCCGCGCGCCTCCTGGTGCCCATGGTTTAATGGCTGCATTCGATTCCACGAGAGCAACGCGCCCGCAGCGGGCGCCGGGCCGCCCGCGTGCAGCCGTCCCCCTGCACAAGCTCAGGTTCCGCTTAGAAAATAAAAACAGGGGTGGGATGCGATGGAGCGGGGCCGTTTCCGGGAGCCCTGTGG